CGGAGCCGCGCCTCCGACAGGTGCTGGCGAAACATTAGGAAACAGAACTTCAAGAACACGGCCACACAGCCCAGAAGACCCACACCAGCCATCATATGCCGGCCATGAAAGCCTTCGACAATACTCTCTAAAATGTTACGAGTTCTCCTTTCTTAGACTTTTGACAGCGCAAATGAATAGCCAATGCTTGTCTATTTGGGCAATAAACATGGACAAAGGATAAAATTGAATAAAGGGTAAGCTGTAGCTGATAGTCCAGATATGTCCCTTAATAAAACCTTGGAGCCTTGCTGGATCAGTCAACATTCTCTTCCCCAAAAGAGAATCAAAGCTGATCAAAGCTGATCGAGAAACCTTCAAGCAAAATATAACCAGAAATATAAAGCATCCTTCAGTCAAAGGGCTGCCTTTAGCCCTGAAGCAGTACACCAAGGGCCATGATCCCAAATAGACAAAACTGGCAAGGGGTGGATGAAGAACCAAACTGAACTGAATGCAGAATTATATGTAATTTAATTAATTAATTAATTAATTAATTAATTAAATGCCCTTAATATGATGCCTTGCTAGGTATTTAAGAATTCTCTTTCTCTCACATCTTTTTTTTTTTTTAAACCATAATTTTATGACAGGTTTTGGAAGGACTTTAAACACCCAGCCCACTCCAATGCTTTGGGTGTCAAATAAGGCTCCAGGTTACGCATTCTTGCTGCAGTTGATCACAAGGAAGGCTGGAGCCTCTCAATCTTTGCTCACATTGCAGGCTTCAAATGTTGTGAGTCATTCCTTTCAATTTGCAGACAACCTACAAGCATGAAGATTCAAACTGTTCTAGGTCTTTTGCTACTTAAGTCAACATAATTTCATTTGTAGATTCTGTTACGAACGCCAGATCGTAACACATTTCTGTATGTACACACAGTTTTAACGAGCCAAGCTACGTTAACAACTGGTGTACTGAGGCTGTGTATGAGATACAGAAGGCCAGAAGTGCTTTGCCTTTCAGAAAGGGTTGGAGGAAAGCTTCTAATGCAAAATGCAGACAAGGAATCTAATAAGTCATTTGATCTTGTCATGCTGTCTGTGGATTTTTCAGACAAGATTGTGCGCAATCCCTACATAAATTCTCCAAGAAACCATCCATGGGCAAAAAGGGAGTCTGAATAGCTTGATGGCCTTTGGCTGGTGTACAGCAAATTTATCTGCCTCTTCTGTAACTCTATTAGTGGGACTAATGGCCTGTCCTATGCCATTAAAAGCTGAATGCCACTTTTGAAAGCCTGCACGCAACAAAGGCAGGAATGTAAGGATTTCTTAACCTGCAGCATCTTGCGGTCAGAAAAAGCCCTGCATTCCACAACAATAATAAAACTCAAAACAAATTGGAAAAAACAGAAGAAGAAACTCAGGTCCTCTCTGTAGCAAATAGCTTCTTGCAGAATTTACTGGCTCCAAGGCTTTTTCAAGATAATACATCTCTGAGATATGAATAAACACATCTCTTAAACGTATACTCAGTAACTGTTCACTATTAAAACTGCAAGGAAAAGACAGCTATCTATTAGTATGATTCCAATGAAAAAGAACTGATGAGCAAACCAATAATGTTATTTCAAGACTAATGTGTTCCACTGAATTCAGAGCGTGTGCTCAAAATCTGATTACATTTGGATTAAGTTGGCAAAGCTGTACACTGCAGAAGATATATAATAAAATGATCAAATTAAAAGAACTGCATGGCCAGCTTGTTCCCCCACCCACCCAATCATCATCATCCAAAGTGAATTAGTATCAAGAAAATTGGGCTCTTAGGCTTTGTTTTCCAAACCAAACGCATCTCCTAAGCTGTATAAGAAGTTATTGAAATACTTTCCAAACTTTGCAGTAAAGTCATGGGGTGGAACTAGTGAATGGTTCACATAATAATAATTAAAAACTCTGATCCTTGTGGACTAGTCAAGCCCTGAGTTAGTCTTCATTTCAGCTATTTAATATGCTGTAAACCAAACACCATTAATTATTGTTTTCAAATAATGGTGTGTTTTTGTGGCCATTGCATTTGTTGGAGAGTAACAGTGATTCAGTTGGTCACAACCTTAATCTTCATTTCAGTAGGATTTGAAATTGGTTGAATATCATCAACTTGAAGTTTAGGTAGTATCTTCAAAATGTACAAATGAAGACTCAGTTGAGAAATGAAGTGAAATGAAATCTGTCTTCACTAGAGGTCTTCAAGAGAAGCTGAACAGTCATTTGAAAGATGTTCTAGTGAGGTGTATTTCAAACTTGGCAACTTT